TCTGGTCTGAAAGTGCACATGGTGGGTGGTTCGGCTCTCCTCACTGCCTCCCTCTGACGTGGAACTCAGCAGCCTGTTTGCTTCCTTCACTGTCTGGTGCTTTCAGGCAATTTGCACACTCCTGGGAACAGGAACTCCGAGCAAGGGGGCACCCAACCAACCCTCCTGCCACAAAGCTTGTTGGGGCTAGCAGTGGAGCTGGGTGCTCAGAAGGAAACAGATAATAAAACCTTTGCAGTGAATACAGAGACTTATTTTATTCAATTATTTATTCTTTTATGTAATTTAATTAATTAATTAATTTTGGCACTGAGGATCGAACTCAGGACCTTGTGCTTGTGAGGAAGGTGGCAGCACCACCGAGCTAAATCCCCGGCCCATAATTTTATTTTATTTACCTGTATCTGTTCTTTAATAGGATTTTTTATCTGTTGCTCTTTTCTCTTCTTTCTCATCTTGTCTTCCTTTAAAAAGTCTTCCATCGTCCCCTTTCCCACACTTTTCTATTGCTATTGTTATTTTTTATGTTTATACATTTTTAGCCTTTTAGTTTATAGTATGTCTGCCTCTTTCTATCGCTATTGGTGTTGTCATTTTTTTTTTTTTTTTTTTTTTTTTTTTTTTTTTTTACTGTATTACAACATCTGGTTTGTCTTTGTGTCGTTATTGTTGCTATGGTTTGTTTTCCCCTCTGTGAGTGATACTGAGGACTGAGTCCTTAAAAAAAAAAAGCTGCTAATTCAGAAGACCCTCATATAAAGGTGCTCATTTTTGGGGGGGGTACCGGGGATCGAACTTGGGCCCTTGCACTTACGAGGCAGGCGCTGGAAGCACCCTTATGTAAAAGTGGAAGAGATACAATTGATGCACAAACCTCAACATAGAAACACAAGACATAAGTCATATAAAACACAAGGCAGCACCACTCGTCTAAATGTTTATAACTGTCAGTAGCTCAATCCAAAGATCTAAATAGAGAAAATGCCAAAGAATTTAAAAGATTAATTAAAAAATGATCAATAGCTTCAGAAGTAGCACAAACAGCTGAATGAATTAAGGAAGACAATACAGGATATAAAAGAGCATTTCAACAAAGACATAGAGATTCTGAAAAAAGAACCAAGCAGAAATCTTGGAAATGAAAAGCACAATAGGGCCAGGGACTTATCTCAGTGGTTCCAGCATCTGCTTTGAAAGCACAAGGACCAGAGTTCGAGTCCCATTACCAAAAAAAAAAAAAAAAAAAAAAAAAAAAAAAAAAAAAAACAAACACAATGATTCAAATAAAAAATTGCAGTGAAATCCCCACCACTAGACTGGATCATGCAGAAGATAGAATTTCAGGGCTACCAGGCAAGGCTGATGAATTATCACATTCACACAGTAATAAAGAAAACAATAAGAAATTGTGAACAAAATATTTAAGAATTCTGGACATGTTTAAAAGGTCAAAGTTATGAATTTCAGTAAGAAGACAGCAGCAGGGTACAGAATAAAGGCATAGAAAATTCTCTTCAGTTAAAAAATAGAACAATAGCAGTCAAACTGCCAAGTCTTGGGAAAGACGTGGAAATTCAGGTATAGAAGGCAACCTCAAACACACATGACTGGAAAGGAACATTCCGTGTCATCATTCTTACAATGCCAAGAGTATGGATCAAGGAAAGAACATTGAAAGTTGCAAGAGAGAAACACTAAGTCATTTATAAAGGCAAATCCATCAGAAGGACTGCAAATTTTTCAAAAGAAATTCTAAAGGTCAGGAAGGCATGAAAGTGTGTATTTTAAATTCTGAAAGAAAATAACTGCCAATGTAGGTTACTATCTTCAGCAAAGCTGTCCTTTGTAATCAAAGAAATAAGCATATATAAGAATAGACTATAGGAATTCATGACCACCAAGGTAGCCTTGCAAAAGATAAGGAAGAGGAAGAGTAGATAGATAAATTAAAATTAGGAAAGAATAAAATTTAGAAAAATAACAAAAAGGACAGATTAATACATACCTTTCAATAACAACTCTGGATGTAAATAGTAGTAATTCTCCATTAGAAGACACACATGGAAAAACTGAATTAAAAAACAAGACACAACTCTTTGCTGCCTGCAGGGAGTACACCTCACTGATAAAGTCATGCACAGACTGAAAGTAAAAGGATGGAAAAAAATATCCCATGCAAGTGGAATCTGAAAACAAGCAGGAGTAGCTATACTCATATCTGACAAAACAGACTTTAAGTCAAAATCAGTCAGCAGAAACAAAGAAAGCCACTACATGTTAGTAAAAGGAACAATCTACCAAGAAGCTACAACAATTATAAATATATGTGTACCAAACATCAGTGCGTCCAATTCCACAAAATGCCATTGGACAGAAAGGTGGAGAATGACCCCAATGCAGTGATGTGATAGTGGACAATTTCTTTTTCTTTTCCATTGAGTTTATTGGTACATTTTAGGTATACAGCACAATTACAGTCATCATTGGGATCTTGTACCTTTACATCACGTATCTTGGTTCTTACTTTTCACCAATTCCCCTGTCCTCCCTTCACCTCCTCTACCCTTCCCTATTTACAATGATTTCATTTCCAGTTTTACCTTTTGTTATGTTTTTTCTTTTCCCTTCTTTCCTTTCCCCTACCCCTGATAGTGGGCAATTTCAGTACTCTGTTCTTAGCAGTAGATAGGTCGGCCAGACTGACCAACCAAACAGACAAATAAAAAAAATCATATAAAACCACAAATGTAAAGAACCCCATCACTACCACCACAAACAAACCAACAAATCAACCAAGTAACCAAACAGGAAACATCAGAGTTAAACTGCACTGTAGATCAACTGGACCCAACATAAATCTATTCCATCCAACAACTCCATAATAATAGATGTTCTTCCAATAGCTGATGGGCACTCTTTCCGAAATAGATCATATTTTAGACAATACAAACACCAAAAAATTGAAATAACTTATTGCATCTTATTAGATCATAGTGGAATAAAACTAGAAATCAATAGCAAGAGAAATTATAGAAACTATACAAACACATGAGGGTTTAACAATTTACTTTTGACTGGACAGTGGGTCATTAAATCAAAGAAATTTTAAAAATTCCTAGAATCAAATGAAAATGGAAGCACATTCAGCAAAGGCCATTCAAGATTGAAATTCATAGCTGGGAGTGGGGAGCTACATAAAAATCAGAGAGATCTTAAATGCATCTCAAGACCTTAGAAAAACAAGAAAAAAAACCGCAATAGAAGTAAAGAAATAATAAAGATCAGAGCTGAAATCAGTTAAACTGAAACTTAAAGAACAATACAAAGGATGCAGGAAAAGAGTTCTTTGAAAAGATAAGCAGTATTGGTAAGCTCTTAGAGAGGTTAACTGGTTGGTTCACACCTGGCAGAGCAGAGATCTGAGCCCATATCATCTGTCTCCAAGGCTGATGTGCGTGCCCCGGGGCCCTCACCACCCAAGAAATCTTTAGCATGTGGCTCCTTCTGCTGTTACACTGCAATGATGCAAGGGTGGCAACTTCAAGTGCTGTGTGTGTGTGTGTGTGTTTTTTTTTTTAACCATATGAATGACTCTTCAGAGAGGAGACTTTTTGAGGGAGTGGAAAATTCAGAAAGACTGATTATTAATTTTAGGTTCCCTCTTTTCATTTTCTAATATTATCTTTCTTATTTGGAAGTCTTTGCATGAGGGCTCTAAGGATGGCATTCACCCCCAATTGTGCTACTGCACTCACACTTGTAGAAACCTTAGGGGAAGAGTTGTCACCGCCAGCTACCATGGGATGCTTGGAGAAGGGCTGGTTTCTCTTAATTCTGCTTGGGAGGTAAGAAGACCATTCAGGGTCTCTCTCAAAAGTAATATGACTAAAAATGACTGAACTGACATTTTCTTCAGTTTTCACTTTAAAGTCGACACGATCTCATCTCAGAAAATGTAAACGGAAGGGAAAAGGCGTTCCTAATTCTGCCGTGTGTCCCAGCAGCTACACGAAATCATGAAAAGTCTGAATTATGGAAGCCTATCCCCACGACAGGACTTGACATTTTGGCTGAGGAATGTCAGAGAAAGAGTTAAGAATAATACACACACACACACACACACACACACACACACACTCATTGACATACACTCACAGAACTTGGATTAAATGTTTTTTTAATTTTAATTTTTTGGTATCGGGCATGGAATTCAGGTCCTTGCACTTGCCAGGCAGGTGGCGGCACCACTGAGCTAAATCCCCAGCCCTTCGGAATTCACACCCAAACTTCTTGGAACTTCACTGGGAAAGAAGAGTAACAAGCCATCAATGAACAATTTTAATAGCTTTCATCATGAGTTGAGGATTTAAATTCATCATTTAATTTAATTCAGCAAGGCAGTTATAATTTATTACTTTCCCTATTCTGCAGATTGGAAAAGTAAGTGTAGAGAGGTTAATTGGCTGGTTTGGCCTGAGGTGGAGCTGAGTGCCCATGGCTTCTCTCAGTGAGGGGAAACTCCCAATCCACAACCTTTTTATCCCTGCATGAACGGCAGCCCCGTTTGAGGTTAATCTCTGAGGTTTACAGTCTCATTCTCAACCCGGGGAGCTTTTACATAGTGTTGATTCTCAGGTTCCACATTCAGGGTGGATGAGACACTGGTCACAGATTTAAAAGGTATGGGTGGGGCACTGGTCACGGATCCCATTGTACAGTCAAGGTTGAAATCCATTGGTTAAGATTTTGCTAACTCTGAGAAGCCCACAGAAAGAATCAAATACTCCCTCAGCTTCACTCCACTAAACAGTGAGCACATGGCAGGTGTTACTCCCCCTCCTGAGCTGTAGCCACGTGGTGTATAGGGTACCTCATGCTGTGTCTTTGCGCAGGTCTTCCTGCTGGGAGACCTTCTAAGAACAGTGGTTGCTTCTGTGGCTTTCCCAGGAGAGAAGCTTTATGGTTCTTCTGTCTAAACTTTCTTTTTATGCCTCCCCAAGCTAGGACGTGGAGCACAGAAAAGTGGACCAGGTTGTCAGATCAGTGAAATGATTTTGGAATGGCAAGAATGGGACTGGAAGAAGGACCCAGAATGTTCAAGAGTTGAACCATATCGTGACTAAAACTGTGGAGCAGAATGTTGACCCAAGGGTACCTCAAAGACACAGAGAAGAAGGAAAATGCTCTGAAGGTAGGGGCTGTCTGTCTTTTTTTTTTTTTTGTATCATTAGTTTCTGGGACAGTAGGCATCACATAAATATTTATTGAATGATGAACGTATTTTCTTTAAAAAACTTTATTGTTTTTCAAGAGCCTGTCATCATTGGCTTCCAGGGATTTGTGTCTTGATCCTTCTAAATATCAGGACAAGGATGACCTAGGACTGGAAGATTTACATCTATGATTGGAAGATACTAGAAAGAGTAGAAACTTCATTGCAGAGCAAGGGCTCAGGAACACGATGGGGTATCTCAGATCCAAGGAGAGCCTGTTGAAAAGCCTTCTGGATTCGATAAAAATGTTTCCTCAGGCCCAAAACTCTAGGACCATGTGGGACATTTGGCCTACAGATACTTCATTTGGATAATCATTATATGAGTTAAACAATAACAAATACCTCATTGAGATAAAGATGATAATAAAGACAAAATGTTAATTTAGACTCACAGTTTTAGAGGCTTCAGTCCATGATTGATTGGACCCATTACTTTGGGTTTGTGGTAGGATATCATGATGAGAGTATGTGGTGAAACAAAACCCCTCATGTCATGGCTGAAGAGAGCGGGAGAGGAGAAAAGACAGGGTGTTGACCTTTGCCTGGGTGGCTTTGCCAGTTTTGTTACCAGCTTAGCCTTATGGACATTTGAGTTGGAGAGGTAAAAGAAGAGGGAGAGGGACAGAGAAAGGAAGAGGAAGTGGTATGGGGAGAGGGAGGAAGTGGTATGGGGAGAGGGAGGAAGGGAAGAAAAGGAGGAGAAGAGGGAAAGAGAAGTGAAGGAGGAGGAGGAAGATGGGAGGAAAGGAAGGGCTAGGGTCCCATTACCCGCTTTGTCTTACTTTCTCATGGCTAGAAAAAAATAGCTGACATCCACAAGTTAAAGGAGGAAAGGTTTATTTTAACTCACAGTTTGTAGAGGGTTCAGTTCTCAGTTGGCTGGTTCCAAGGCAGGGTGGCATGGCAGAGGGGAAACAGTCCATGGCAGGGCAGACAGGAAGCAGTGAAGGGTCAAGGGAGGAGGGATACATATATAACTCTTCCAGGACATGCCCACAGCGATCCACCTATGAGTATATCTAAATATAAACAATAACACCTTTCAAGGGCACACTCATCCCCAGTGACCTAAAAACCTCTCTCTCACTGGGCCCACCTCTTAAATGTTCTACCTCTTCCCAGTAGTGCCACAGTCTGGGGACCAAGCCTTTGCCATTTGGAGGACGCTGAAGATCCCAGCTATAGCAACAGATACTTAAGAATTGAAACCTAGATTTTTAACTTCCCTTGAAAATTCAAAGCCTTAGCAATCATGGGCCAGAATCCTTATTGTATGGCTGTCTGGAGAGCTGTGCTGCTGAGATAGATAGGGTGTGTCCCTTCCCATTTGTCCTCATCTTTGGCCAGGTGGTTTTGCCAATTTTTATTCCCTCTGTGGACGTCTGAGTCCGAGACTCCTTCTGTTATTCCTTTGCGCCTGTCTGGATACTTAAGTTCCTTTGATGGGTACATATTCTTGGCTTCTTTCCTCACTGGGTGTCTGGAGTCTTAGCTAGCTTGTTTCTTCTAGCATCTCCTGGCCATCTTTGCCTACCCGAATCAGGGATCCTCCCACAACCGTGGAGCTTATATTCCCGACTGCATCTGTTGTCTTTCCCTTGCCCAGTGTGAGAGAGACACTGTTGGTCACTCACCTATATCCACAACTAAGAAAAAATGGGGCTTGTATTGAGACCTAGGCAGTTCAAGTCCAAAGTCTGTACTCTGTGGACTTGATTTATGCACCGATCTCTATTGTTTGCCATCCTCAAGGGAAGGCATAAAACTCACAGGAAATGAGAGAGCTCCTGCAGGTTTAGCTTTGCAAAACACAACAGATGACAGAACTATCCAGCAGAATTTGGTTCCCACGAGCCCTGATTCACCAGATGCTATTTTTGTGCCATTTATGAGTAGAGTTACAAAAATTGGCATCATGAAACCTGACAGTTCAAAGGAAACTTTGGCGCTTATCCTTTTCAGCTGCCAGCTTCTGAGTCCATTCTGTGGAAGCTGGAATGTGGACCTTGGAGTCTGACTGGCTAGATTGAAAATTCCAGTTCTGCCACTCATGAGTAATATAACCTTGAGCTTGTAACTTTGGCCCTGAGTATTTGTTTTATCCTGTACAAAGGCAGGTGGTTTTAATGAGGTAAAACTAGAAAGTGCTTTGTATATGCAGCACATACAAGGCACTCAACAAATACTAATTTCTGTCTGTTCTGTTCTTTGTCTCAGTTCTGAGGTTGGCTATTAGTAAATTTTTCTAAGAATTATGTCATATTACACATGAGGAAGATGTTGAAGGCATGTGGAAAATTCCGTTGAAGATTTCATAACCTTTTTTTCTGGGTTCTGTGCCAGAGAAGTAGGCCTCAGTTCACGTCGTTATAAAAGAGAAAGAACCACCTTCCACCCAATGCACAGTAAAGCTGAGATATCCTATGACTTAATTAAAAGCTGCAGAATATCATCCTATCTGCAGACAAATGACAAATAGAAGTCTGTGTTCAGCTATTTCATTGCCTGGTTAGGTAATATGCCCCCAAACAGCAAGCCTTACTCATTACTGTGCACTTTTCTTAAATACCCTGTTTACTGATTGTCTTATAACTGGATGATACACATATATAATTTTATATTTATGGATAAGTGCTCTTTGCTGACAACTCGAACATCTAAATTATGCAATGCAAAATCAGATAATTGCAGAGACGCATTTGTCGTCTGGCATGTGAGATCTTCAGGTAAACAGCATAATTGTAAGGTAGCTGTTTGGAATCAAAAGAAGGTGGGTGCCTGCTGTTTATCAGGTACCCTTCCATCACTTTCTTGTTTTAAAAGTGAAATTCAAACTTAAAGAATGGCTTCTGATTTTAACTGCTATCGGTAAATGTCCGTGCCCTTAAGATCATCAGTTTATGCATCTTCCTTCTGATAAAAGATCTAGCCAAGGAGTTTTGTATAGGACTTGAGTCTGGGCATTCACTGAACTATGTTCCTTAGCCATCAGCCATTGGCTCAATAGGTGGTCATGTGGCTTTACTGGAGCCAATGAACATTCTTCTCTGGAATTGATACATAGGTGCTATCGTAATGATACTCTTGCTTTTCAATAGAAAAATAAAGGAAGATGTAAAGTTGAAGATGCTGGCTGTTACCTTTTTTCCTGTCATGTAGAAAATAGGAAGGAGTGCCTACTGTAGTTGAATGCCTACTATGTGCTTGATATTATGCAAAACACTTTCCTGTTTCTAATGAAAAGTTGAAGGTATGAAACCAAAGAGAAAAAAAAGGGGGGGTTGTGAGAAACTGGTGGAGAAAGATTGAGAGACATAGGAGAGAAAGAGAAATAGAGGGAGAAGGAGAAGAGAAGGAGAGAGGAAGGGAGGGAAAGGTAGGTCAAAAGAGAAAGGGGAAGACAGAAAGAGAGGTTTTGGTGTAATCAAGACTCAGTTTCACTGCTTGGGAACATCATCCTGTAGCTCTTCTTCCTTTTTAAAATTCTGTGTACTTTCTCCCCATCTTTCTGGACCACATAAGCCAGTAAGCACCATTCCCTTTGGTATGGTTTTGAGTTCAGCTTTTATTCTTTTTCCTTCAACACAAAAGCCTAATTACTCACACAGTTTCTCTCCCCTTTTGGAGAAAAAAAAAAACCCACCAAAAAAAAAACCCCAACAACAAAAAAACAAACAAACAAACAAAAACCTCCTGCCCACAGTGGTCTCTAAGAGGGCTGTATTTTCCGGCCAGCACATTGGGAGATCTTTCCATGGCTTGAAAGAGCAGAACCAGTGGCTTCCTGCTCATTTTCTGTGTGTTCAGCTCCTGTCTCTTGGAGATAAGGACTACAGGAGACAGTGTAACAACTGGACAAAGCTTGAGGAGAGCATTTTATTTTCTTCCCAGACAAGTCTTGCTGGATGTATCAAGGGCCCCAGGTATATTCTTACTCTTTGGCTCCATAACTCTAATTCTTGGTCTTTCTGCAAGAGTATTCAAATGAGCAGCTATTGCATAAGATGGGGCAAATGTTTACTCATGAAGATACAGATCAAGGATCTACCAAAATGGTCAGTGGAAGGCACTCAGGGACCCAAAATCTGGACAAAATTAAATTAATTATGGCTTTTAAGCATATAGCATTTAACTTGTCCCATGGAGACTTCAAGCAATACTGTAAATATTTATGACACAACGTTGAATGAAAAAAGTAGGGCACAGAACTTGTAAAAATACTTTGCCAATTACGTAAAGAGCCCTATGCACAAAGACTGAAAGAAAATATGCCGTCGTTTGACTGTAACTGGTAAGACTGTAGGCATAGTTTCTCATTTCCCTTAAGTTTTCTCTGTCTTTTAAATTTCCTATAATGATGACATATTACTTTTATAATCAGAAAAATGAAACAAAACAAAATACAGTAAAATGGATCTTGGCTCAACTACACTCTACCCACTTCTAGTGGAGCAAGGACATCTGATTGCTTATACTTTTATCTTGAATATAGACTCTAGGAAACCAAATACCCTCTGTGACCTTTTAGGAAGCTTCGTAGGAATTTCACTTGAATATGGGGCTGTTGACTGCTGTCTGAGTACCATTCAAAAACATAAGGAAGCTCAGAAGGGACATACATAGGGAAGCTCAGAAGGGACAGACATAATATTGAGTTTGAAGTGAGTAAACAGTAATTTCAGGAGCTACTTTGATGGAGAAGGGTGAGGATGACATTAGTGCCCCACAGCAAGTTTCTTTGAGCAGTAAGGGACTGGCTTCCAAGAGAGACTCTATGGCAGACATGAATGCATTAGAATACCCCTTCATCTGCTATTGATCCCTCTTCTCTATCCGGTACATGTGAGAAGGGCTGAAGGGGCCAAACAGCAGTGACTCCCTAACTCTCTCAGTGACCCTCTGGCCATCAGGTTATCCAGACAGAAGCTTGGTTGCTAAGACAATAATATCAAAATCACATTCAAAAGAACGCTTCACAGCCCTCAGCAAAAGTCACCCCCAATTTTTAAAAATCAAACTAGTCAGACTCTGAGTACCTTTTCACCAAAGTTTTTTTTTTTTTTTTTTTTTTTTTTT